GGTTGGAACTTTGGTATTCCAGAACCTCAGTGGGATAATTTTGGCAACACAGTGGAGGAAGCATTCAACAATCCTTTATTTGCCAAACTGCACTATCGCTTCAAGCAGGAGGAAGAGATTGGTCGTGTCATGCACCTTGTGTCAGAACTTGTTTGTGACTTTTTCATCAAGGTGCTTCCCAAGTGGGTTCTTGACCACTCGATCTTGTGGGAAGAGTTTATGATTTTGGATCCACACACAAAACTTCCTGTTTACAAGACTTCAGAGGCCACTTTACAAGCAGAAGGGAATCCAGAGAAGTATCATACACATTTTGCTATGAACTTCAAGAAATTCCGTTTTTCTGCAAGGATTGTGTGGTATTTGATTGACCGTGACAGGAATCATTTGGAGAGTTTTCTTCACAACTCCAACAGTAGATTTGCGCAACATGCATGCTATCAACTTCGTGATTATGTTCAGGCGCGTGTTGCAGTTTCTGATCCCTTGTATGAGATGATCAAAAAGGAAGAGTTTGAACGCCAATACAATTCCAAGTTTTTGGAGGCGATTTCTTGCTCTCGTGTTGTAGTTGAGCCTGTAAGTTCAGGGACGTATGAGCCATCATCGAAGCTGAACTTAAAGGTACTACAAGACATCCTGAAGGGTATCTTCAAGATCCAGAAGGATGAGGAGCTTGCCAAGGAACGTGATGAAGAAGAAGAACAGGCAGCTCAAAACATCTCATACCTGTTGGCAGAGGATATGGAGCTTGATTTTGATGATGATGATGTTCCAGTATGGCGCTCCATTGTCGACAAGTATAGAGGAGGTGATCAGGTGCTACAGGGAGAAGCTGTGAAGATTACTCACCTGTTCAGGGATCAAAAGGACAATGAGAAGGCGACAGAAGCTTTCAGTTCAGAGAGGACAGATTTTTATGAGACCTCAGGACCTCTTCCAAGAACCGAGGGAGAAAATCTTGTAGAGGACTTGCTCACCAAGGATGTTGCAGAACAAGCTTTTGAAGCAGGTGTTTTTCCTTCAGAGGAACCAAAGATGGAAGTTGACCAGGAGGAAGCCAAGGAAGAGTCAACACCACACTTTCTGTCAAGAGAGATAGGTGTGGACTCGACTGCATCGCACTTACCATCAGGTGAGATGGACGCTAACCTTGATGATACTTCAGGTCAGCGGAAATCTAAGAAAGGCCGCCTGAATAAGATTCCTGATCCTCATTTTCATGAAGAAGTTCAGGATGATGCAACCATGGAAGAGAAGAAAGAGGCGGTGGAGAAAATAAAAGAGGTCAGAGAGGATGATGGAGAGAAGAAATTGGAGGCTGAAGTCCAAGAATCTTTTCCATCTGAAGTAGTTGTTGAAAAGGATACAACAAAAGCTGACAATACCTATGAGTTACATACTTCACCTTTGAAGTTGCTTGGAGAGCTTACAGGAGATCCAGGTATTGGCTTTTATCAACTACGCTTCAGGGAAACTCATGCAAGATTGCTGAATCATGTTTGTTTCAGAAAAGGTGAGATTTCCCATCCTCATTATCAGTCAAGGATCAACGAGAATGATTTTGTTCGATCCATTCAAAATGTCTGTCCAGTACCTCCACCTGATTGTTATGAACATGAACCAAGGCATGATTTGAAGAGATTCTTCATCAATGATGACCGCATCGTTTATTTGGATGGCAGGTATCAGGTCGATCCAAAGGCCCTTGAAAGGGCAGATCATGCTCGAGAAGAATTGGAGGATACGAAAAAGGAACTCAAGAAGGAACTGGAATCATATGGTCCCAAGGGACCCAGTTGGGACTTTGTCACCTTCTATGAAGAGCTGTGCAGAAGGTTCCTCAAAGGAAGAATAGAAGAACCATATGGAACTAATTTATTGGCCAGCTCAGAGTCCTTGACATTTTTATCCTGGAACTATGGCAACATGGTTCGTGGTCAGAAGTACACCACACCAAGGTTTCTCCAAGGACTTGATAGTGCAATGAGGCCACGCAAACAGAGCGCCATGTCACTTCAGAATGAGCAATTTGAGAACAACCTTTTCTTCAACATGCTCTTCTTTTTACGTGCACATGTCGTGATTCTCCAGGAAGCTCATCTTCTTGTTCCTGCCAAGGAATTTATTGAGCAAAAGAATTGGACAGTTTGTTTCAATGATTGGGAGAATCTTGCAGTGATGGCTAGATTGGCACCAGGTGGATATGTCAAGATCATTGCTGGACATGATCAAGAACTTGGTCACTGTGAACAGCGTGATGTAACTTGGGCTATCTACGAGATTTGTTTTGGAGAAACAAGGCCTCGTCAAGATTTCAAGGATGCAGACTTTGAATTTGATGACTATGGTCCTGAGGACAAGCGTGTTCCACTTACTCGAGCGAACATGCATACCATCAGAGTCTGTAATTATCATGTTGATACACACCGTGCTGTGGATGCCCACCTACTGACAGGAGAACAGACAGCATTGATGCTTTACGAGTGTTTTGTCTATGAGGTGGACATCATTTCTGGTGATGCAAATAGTTTGGCCTACAGAATGTCTGGGTACAAAAGGCAGCCAATGGCTAACTACTATTACAGCACCATGCAGCATTGGATCCGCAGGTTTTCAGAAGCTCGTGTAAAAGCAGATCCTGGTATCAAAGCACCTATTCCCAGAACATTTTATAGTTCAACTTCACAAGTCCTCAAGAATTGTGAAGATTACTTTGACAAACTATGGGAAGAATATTCTACTGTTGAAAAAGAAGAATACCAAGGATCAAAGCTTGGCGATACATGTTTGTCTACCATTGTTGAATGGGGTCATTCAATGAGTGAAGAGGAATATGAAAATTCCACAGTGAGTACGAAGGAGTTCATCTGTAATTTTTCAGAGAACTTTGCTATGATTGACACGGAGGTTATGTGCTCAAGGCCCACTGACGAGGACAGTCATGGTCCAATGTTTATTTCACTCAGACCAGCTTCCTTTTCATCTGGAGACAGAAAACAGTATCGCATGGGACCAACTCTTCATGAGGCGAACTTGCGGAGGAAGGAGAGACAAAAGCAGAATAAAAGGAAAGGAAGGCCGCCAACTTCTGATCAAGCAACTTCATCGTTTGCAGCGGCATAATTCCTGAGCGAAGGCTGAAATTTAAATGATGGCTAGGAAGTGAAGATACTTCTGGTTACAGTTGATACTTTGCTTCCAGGCTTGACTTTAAGTTGCCAGGCTGAAGTTTTAATAAATTCTGGTTTGCAATGAGGAGAAACTTTTTATCAAAGAAGATACTCCTGCATTCCAGGTTTATACGCTTTAGCATGCAGATAGGTATGGACAGTTTTGCATAACTGATGATATCTATCACAGCCGCTTTTTCTGAGATGACCTCTAATGGACAACCACTCATGGTTGATGATTAAGTCATTTCATAAGTCTGCATTTGTAGTGCAAGTTTTGTACATACATTTGCCGGTATCTCCTTCTTGTGTTTTTGATGTGAATGTGAAAGAGAGTCCTTTTGATGCAGTTTATTTTGTCTGTGAATGAAAGCGGTCGAGACCACGTCACGAGAAGATTATTCCTCGGACCGTACGCTCCTTGCATTTTGCAAGGCATCTTAATTCATTGCATTGTGCGGTCTTGAATTTTTAGTTCTTTGTTACGCGAGTGTCGTTTGATTCTTTTATAGGTCTCTGTAGAGAAAAAGCCGCTTTCCCTTTTAGTTTGATTTAGCTCAGGCCATAAAGAGCTAGTGAGCGCCGGTACATGGTATCTCCGCCTGCGAAAAGTACAGTCTCCAGCCGAGGTACATTATCGATTTGATTTTGTACTTGAGGTGAGTCAGCTATTGCTCCCTCACTGTATTTAGTAGCTATGAGATTACCTTCTCTGAAGTGTGAAACACACCGGATTAGGTAAGTACATGGCACCGTAGTTTTCTTTTAAGTTGTCAGAGCTAGCTGGACTGTTTTAGCCTTGCAGTAGAAAAAGAGTATGCGACATACGCAATCAGCTAGAAGTGGACATGAATCTTGTGCCTGCTGAAAAGTAGAGCCTACCTGTACAGGGTTCCACTCCAACAGCTGATATAGTGTGTCCATGCTTGACTGCTTCAAGGCTCAAGAAGAGAGGGTCAATGGACCTAATAGGATAAGACTCTGCGTGAGCAAAAGACACTAGCGGTCTGCACCTCTACCGTGTACGCCCTAGTCACTCTTTCACCCCCCCCCCCTCAACAGCCAAGGCCTCCAAAATAATGTATAAGAAAATCAATCAGTTGATAATTAAATAAGGAATCCTTAGCTAGCTACCTCTGGAGGTCTTTATTAATCTAGGGGCCTTTATTAATCAGTGCAGGGAAAAAAAAGACATAATTCTAGGGGTCTTTATTAATCTGAGGACTACATTAGGTTTCTTTTTCTTCCTTTCTTTCGTTTCTCAAACATAGCAAAGAGCTGGAAATGAAGCCAGGATGATCGGAATCGACATGTCCTCACCCATGGCTCTACGCTTCCAAAGAACAAAGCTGGAAGAAGGTTCCGGTAAGCCTTTAGGCCTACTGATAAGAGGGAGAGCCGGCCACAATCAAGATTCCACCACTTTCGACTGGGCATATCGAAGTGGTAAAGGAGGAAACACCATCGCAAGAGTTTCTGACATGTGGGTTGGAGGCCATCGTTACTAGGTTGCATTTCTCTGCCTCCTTGCGGCTTTTAGCTGGACATGAGCCGAAGCTGCTTTCGTCCACCCAAGGGGGGTCATGGACCTCTCAGAGAGCTTGGACCAGGTTTGGAGACGGTCATGTTTTTCTTCTTACATGTAAAAACATGCATTGAAGTTCTTGTTACTAGTAGCGTCCTTGCTCCTAGTAGTAAGGCCAGGAGCCCCTAGTAGAAAAGGAAAAACACCTATTTTCTGTCTATTTAGAACATGTAAGACCCAGTGTACGACCCCAAGAAGAACATCTCCATTGAGTCGTTGACTTCCCTTCACATCCAAGATGCAAATCCGTCCAGAAAAGGATATCCACAGTCTGTTCCACTGGAAACCAGGCCTGGCCATGTTTTCTCAGTGGCGCTTGCGGCGCAACGACGAACAATGTTGTTTCAGTTGGAGGCAAGAGATATACAGTACCCACGGCCCAGAGGGTGACTGCTTTGCTTTGTTCTCCTTTGCTTGGTCTTGTGACAGTCTTGCGTTTCCAACATGTTTTTCAGTGGCGAAAAGCAAAGGGACCGTGCAGCACTTGGGGCCATCCACGTGACGATTGATGGACCGCCAAAGCGCTGCTCGTCGCTGTGGGATGGCTCCTTGATGTTCCTTGGCCGCTACTTAGGTTAGAGGCCATTATTGTGGTGAACCTCAGTTGCAGAAGGCCCCTTAGTTGTGTTGAAGCCTCATAACGCTCATAAGTCATCAACAGGCTTCCGTTTGCCAACCCACGGGTGCTCCGAACATCGGGGCTCGAACACAGCCTCACCAACAAGACATAACACAGGCACATGGTTCTCAGGACTAGGATCCTTAAACAAGGGTCTGGGAGTCTGCCATCTGTACAAACTCAGTCCCTCTCCACAACGGATCCATTGGACCTTGCACCAACTGGCCCTCCCGTTTCGTCCGTTCATCGGCTCGGCTCGGCTCCGCTGAAGGCACTCATCGGGACGCCTGCTTCACTTCGTCTTCCATCTCGCTGCTGCTATCTGGGGCCGGAGTTGAGTTGAACTCTATGGAGCAGCTGCGGTTGGAGTTTGTTGTGAGACATCAATTTTGAAGCCAGAAGATCCATGAAGAGATTGGATCAATCCCACAGGACTTTCACAAGCATGCTTCTTATCAACGGACTGGTGCAAGTGGGTCAGTGGGAGCCTTTCAGCTGCCCGCAAGTAGCTGTTCCGCTTTCTTGACCAACACGAGTCCCGAAGGCTAGATCATGCACCGCGTGGTTTACCGATAGGTTGGAGGCCATCGCTATGAGGATGAAGGCCATCGCTTTTAGGTTGGAGGCCATTGCTATTAGCTTTCGTTCTTTTTCTCTTTTCTCTTTTTGTTTTTTTGAGGCCATGGCCACCAACTGATAGGGACGCCCATGATCCATCAGGCCCAACAGTCGCACCCTTCGGAAGCGACTGGAGACGCTTCGCTTCAACTTCGGCTTCTGCAGGGTCCCCGGCTGATATAGAACTCAATGAAAGCCAATTTGTAGGGAAAAACCGTTCCTGGCGGTGCGAACTTGTGAAAAGGACAGCGAGCGGGTTTCAGGGTGTTCTGAAGCCAGAAACTGGTACAAAGAATTCTCTTTACCTTTTGTTTGGACAAAATCGGAGCAACACGAAGAAGCGTAGGATTGCTTGACATCGAACGAACCGATGTAAGCTTCTGATACAAACAATCTTGGCTCCGAAGCTCTCGTGTTTCCGAAGAGGCACGAACACCGTGTTGAAAGCTCCAAGCATTATGTGCAGTGCAACTTCGTGCACATGAACGAGGAGTTTGAAAGATCAAATATTTTTTTGAATCTTAGTTTTTTGCGAATAAACACATCCGACTGATGATAACTGGCTTCAGCACGTGACAAGAACTTGTGCGACAGTTCATAACAAAGCTTATCAATCACTTGGGATTTCTTTTGTAGGTGGAACACACTTATGCTCTAAACGTGACACAAACCTGTTCCGCCGCTGAAGCGACATTCTTCCAGGGGTAGCAAATGAACGGAGTGTTACACCCCAGGTCCTTTCAATCTGGAAAAACCTCTGCTGTGCGAAGCTTTGAAAGGACTTCCTGTTTAATTCACCATGTTACATAGCTTTGTACGGTCTGCCCTAGAACAGAATTGCATAGTCCAAGAAGAGTGGACTTATCTGGTTTGGCAGGAACCCTGGATGAATCATTCCTACAAGATTGATACCTGAATCCAAGCGTAAACAGTGCACACCTGGGTGTGCAAACATCAAACCCTTGCCTTTACTTCAACCTGTTCGTGAAGCCTTCAATGCAAATGGAGCCACTTCTGAACCAATCAGGCTCTAAACATCAAACATCATCGTGTTGCTTCCCTTGCTGCCTGTGTAGAGGAGCAAAATACCAATGACAAAGTTCCAGAATTTGCGAAACGGATTGCTCTCCTTGCGCACGTGCCGCTGGCCACCGGTTTCCAAGGCTACTTTGCCAAACAACAAGGGCAAGCTGTGTCATTTCCTTGAAGCGAGAAGAAATGGGATCGAGTTGATATTCCCTCTTGCTGGTTGGGGGGTCACCACTAGCTTCTTGCTCCTAGTAGTAAGGCCAGGAGCCCGTAGCGATGCCAGGAGCCCCTAGTAGCGTCCTTGCTCCTAGTAGCGATGCCCTTTGCTCCCCAATTAGTATCACAGCCTAGAGATCCTCTAAACCCCAAATGCCAGTGAACAAACAGGTTAAATCGCCGTGAAAGCCATGCGAGCCATGCGAGCGTGTGCAACGTCTTGGAGCGATGCGCACAACTTCGACTTCTTCGTTGCAGTCGAGACACCTTCATCACAAATCCTCAGTGCATGACTCACTTGGGACATCACGGGTTTGCTCTGCAGTATTTTCACCAATGGCTCGAAGAGTGGAAAGGGACATGCCCACCGTGGTCGTCACTCAACCGGCTGCGACCATGTCAACAAGTGTTTCGCTTCCAACTCCAGCTGCAGGAGTCAGTGGTGCACAAATCCGACCCCAAAAAAGCAGGACCTCCCCATTGAATTCTTTCAGTCCATTCATTTGTTCCGGGTGAACTAAGTGGCATCATACATATCTCATATCTCTGCTTGACGATGTGTTGACCCCCTGAGGTTCCTCAGTTTCTCCCGTGACCAAATAGTCTTCTTGCCTTTTCTTAGTGGACGCAATAACTTTTCTGGATTTCCCTGGGAAGGACGCCCTCGAAAAACTACACATGAGGATATAACTGCAAACGCATGAAGGTTCTTGGTATTGACTGGATTTTTCAGGTAAGGGGATGAGCCCAGGGCGAGCCATGTTGGACTCCGCCAGACTCTGAAAGATCGATCCGCCGCCGCTTCGGCCTTTGGGCTAACTGGTCGAGCTGCTGGAGCCGCAGCCATGCTGCATGCTACTGACATGTCTTGCCAGCCTTGGGTCGCAAGACACCACCAACGGCCGCAAGTCTTTGGTTCTCTACGACGTTTTGGTATTTGGTAAGAGGAAGATGCAAAGTGCGGGAAGAGGAAGAGGAAGGACCTGTCTGGTTGGACGCTGAAGATACTTTTGCATTTCCTGTTCCTACGGCTTCGAACGAGGGACTGGACATTCACGATTTGAAGGATAAACGTCTCACGACCACGCCTAACCTTTATATTCTTCTTGCTTTTCAACCTTTATATTCTGGATATGCTAACCTCTTCAAGGTGCTATTGTCCGACTTTCCGTATACATCAAAGGTTAGTTGCGGGTCTCATAAACGTCTTGCCTGATATGCGTGGAGGGTTGTGACATATGCTCACGGAACACACCGGGTCATGGGCTGCGTTGGGTGGGAAGAACCGGGTACTCCAGCACCGATAACAGGACCCACTGCTTTGAAGAAGACAGCAAATCCCACGATATCTTCGCATCCTTCTTCGGGTTGGCAATTTAAAGGAAGAAGAAATTGCAGAACTCTCTGTGAAACAGGAGCTTCCAAACCTTTTAAAAGGGTGTTTAGCTGCCTGCTGCACATGAAGCCAAGGCACACGTTCGATGGCTCTGCCCAAGCCTGCGATCGGCGCTCAGACCAGCCAGCAAAGAAATGACAGCATGCTGTTTCCTCCTCCCCAAGAACTTTTGTTTGGGCGCCTTTTCCATTGCTTACCTTTTGGATTCTCCTCTCGCCATTCTTGCTTACTCCGCAGATCTTGTTAAGCTCAGCTCTAAAACCACGCCAAGTAGGTTCGGTTTGTGACCTTACCAGTTGAGTCCACTTCAGGTTCCTTCATCTTTCTCTTCCGTTTCTTCCATCGCTGCACACGGCTGAAGGTGCGACATCTCGCAGGCTCCCACGCCTCAGAGAAGCGTTTTCTTCGGCGCTTCTCTTCCGCCTTGGGGTCCGGAGCCAGGCCTCGGTGTGAGAGTCCAGGGCCGCCGATCTGGTAAGGAGGGATGGGAGGATGGGATGAGGGGAAGATGGCCCATGGAATTTCCGAAATTTGAGAAGCACATCCAGTAGAACCCTTGCAATGCTTGGGAGCTCCATGGAGCTTCATGGAGCTTCTGAGCCTTTTCTCGTGGATGCGGCATTGCAGAGGCTTTGCAGGGGTGGAGTGCAAGCACAGTGGAACAGTTCATATGTTCATGGATTCGTCAAGGAAGAATTCACCTGGATACAGAAACGAAATCATGTTAACCGTTAACCGTGATGTAGATTAACTTAATGGGCATAGTAGGGAACGGCTACTGTTTCCTCTTGTTTCCGAAAGCAGTGAAGGATCATGCACAACACCAGTTCTTCCCCTTTTTTTCTGCAAGAGTGCATGTCGTGATGCTCTGCACACATTTGTTGGACGTCCTAATTCATGCTTAAAAACCTCCAGAGTCCCCCACTTGCTCTTTTTCTTTCTAGTAACAAGTGCCTTACTAGTAGTAACAAGAAGCTACTAGTAACAAGTGCCACGCTAGTAGTAACAAGTGCCTTACTAGTAGGAGCAAGGACGCTACATGTGCCGTGTCATCCCACCGGTCCCGGCTGTTTGGGGACCCCAACTCAGCTCCTGCATGGCGGCGGCCGCCCCACTCTTCGCCTGGCGACTCGGCCATTGCTGAGTTCTCACGTTTGGGTTGAATGACATGCACAAAAAAAAACAAATAGCATGGCCTCCACCCTACTAGCGATGGCCTCCAACCTAATAGCAAACTATACTCAAGTATCACAGAATTCAATGAAATCTCGGAAGATCTCACGTCCCCGCAAATGACCGTTTTGTTACAATTTGTTTGGCCAAAGAAGAACTTCAGTCAAAAAACTAACCGTTCCCTTTTAGTATATTATTTACTGATTCTTATGGTGTTTTTATGCTCTTCGACCAGTTTTCCTTCTCCAAAAACTCGTTCTTTCGGCGCTTCTTCGTCCCGTTCCGTGCCTTCGAGACCAGGATGTCCACGCTATTTCGCCGTCCCCGGCTGGGCGTCCGCTCAGGGAGCATCCGTTCCGGGATCTGATGAGGTGGCGTCGCCTTGAGGTGGTCAGGCACTCAGAGAATCATGTGGTGTTAACTAGTAGCTAGGGCACTCTGACTAGTAGCAAGAAACTACTAAGTTGTTCTTTGCTTGCCTAGTTTTCAAATTTAGTTTAAATCTAATTTGTTACTACTAGTAAGGCACTTGTTACTACTAGCGATGCACTTGTTGCTACTAGTTTAATGAGTTTGGAAGGCCACCTGTGCCATCACCTTCCCGATCTCCTCAGCATTCTTGGGGCCCCGTGCGCCGGTCTCCCATAGTGGAGATGGCTTCGCGGGCGTCTCCTCAATGACCTGCGAAACAAGGGAACACGCCTTGGAGGTGCTTGGAAGGACCTTCTCATCACTATATTGCTATGTAGCTATTAGCTATGTAGTGTTTTTGATGGCGACGTGATCGGGTTTCTGATGGTTTCTGTGTTCTGCCCTTTTCTCCTTTTTTGTTGCTTGGAGGGGCGCTTGATTGCCTCCATACCTGAACATGCATCCTCCTGCAGGAGAATTCTCGTGGACGTCGTTGTTTGCATGCTTATCTCTCAAAGTGCTGGCTTTCTACTGCACACTCCTAAACCAGCGGTGCCAGGTTTGACTCCAAGTCGTCTTTCACCAAGTACGGCTTGGATGTCATCAAACGCATGTTCTTTCTGGAAGTAATTTCTGCATTTCCTTGGCCCAAAAACACTCTCCCCCCATCCAACCCATTCCCTTCGGAAAAAGCGCGAAGTTTTTGTGCCTCGTCGGTCGAAAGGCCCGAAGACGAGGAAGACCCATCATCAGGCCTCGGTCTAAGACCCATCAAAGACCAGTCGTCGCTTTTCTGGGGAGTTCTTCAAGACATATCGGCAGTGATCAAACGCTTTGTAAAAAGAACGCTCCACAACAATGTTCATATCAAGGCCTAAAGAAAGGCCAGAACAGAAAAAGAGAGACCAAGAAAGATGCAAACTTTCTGGAGGCCATCGCTACTAGGACCTTCCTCTTGTCGTTGCCTCTGGGGTCCCCCACATGCCACGGTGATAGCGCGTTGCTCAAGGCGCACGTTGAACGGAATTGGAGGGTGAAACCACAGGGCCCTTCGTCTAAACGAAAAGGGTCAAGGGTTGGCTAGTTGGATGTGTTGGAATTTTCTGGAATGCGGAATGCGGTGTCGCCCTTTGGGTTGGGTCTTGAGTAGGCCATGGGCGGCCATGGGCCATTGCCTTCGTTTCGGGCGGGTTGTCTTATAGTGTTGGGTCTTCTTTCATGTTTTCTGTCTCCAAGCAGGTGCTCTTCTGAACCAACCCCGAGGCTGAGGTCAAAAACTGCTTGCCTTCCGTCTTCCTCTTCCAAACGTGCCGAATCTGGCCGTGTCTGAAGGATGCCCCGGTCTAGGCCCCAACGGGGACGGCCTATGGACTACATGAGCCAAGCGAGCCAAGTGAGCCAAAGGACAGGAGAAACGAAGAGTCACAACTTCAACTGTCTGAGTCTCGAAGAGGTTGATACAGCTTTCGTGGTCTTTCTCGAGAGTTCGAGAGATGTTCGGTCAAGGTAAAGGTGAGGCCCACACACAGGGCCCACAGTATACCGGCACACCAAAACGCTAGAGTAATCCGACCTCGACATTTTCTGTTCATTCTTGCACTCCAGCAAACCCACAGTCCCTCTGGCATACCGGTGTACATACCCCGTCCATTAACAGTGGCATTGTCGAACTGAACACGAAAGAAACAACGGCCTTAAAGTCAATAAAGGAAAGAGCCAATAACAAACAAGAAGGAAACCCATGTAGCATCTCAAGTCTCATTCACTTCCAAAGCCCCGACGCAGCGATAGTCTAGAATGCTACCTCGGTCTCGGCAATGGCCTCCACGGCCATTTGGCCCAAGGTCCGTAAACAGAAAGAATAGAACAAAATGGACGCTACTAGGGGCTCCTGACATCGCTACCAGGAGCAAGGATGCTACTAGGGGCTCCTGGCATGGCTACTAGGAGCAAGGACACTACTA